GGTATCAAATAGTATGAGAATAATTCAATTTACCAAAAACATACTTTATAAAAGCTGGAATTAATTTTTACTGAGAAACTTTTTTTGAATGTTTTGTATGTATTTTATTTTCACTGATTTTTGATGAGTTTAAAATATTTGGAAAAATATATACTCACTGGATTTTTATTTTCACTATATTATTCCTTTAGAGAAAGATTACGAAAACTGCTCTAAAACATGCTATTCCATCCTTTCTGAATATTTCTATGAACATACTACTACTTCTAACAACCATCTTCACGAGAGTTTACAGGCAAAACCATTTTAAATATTTAAAACTTCAAAGCAATGTCGTAATTACAATGTTGCCTAGTAGGCATTTGGATGAGAAGTCAGCAATTTTCAAGATCATGTTTTTCAGCGCTTCCTATAAGTGAACACCAATGTTTTTCATCTCCGTTCCTGCCATTCCGTTGTACAGTGATTTGTTTTCATCTCTTTTAGACACAAATTGCATTTTTATGCAAACCTGATGCTGGGAACGGGACACCTGAGTTCATCGGTGAGGGTAACTATACATATTCGTTCAGATGGTATACCAAATATGCCTGCCCTCAGATACCCATTGAATGTACAGTCACAGACCCTGATACGCATAAACAGTATGATCTGTCCAGGTAAGTCGCTTACAATTCAAGTTTCTGTTGGACTGAAATGACAAAATTAAAAATATGTTCATGCTGTCCAACCATGCATGCATGCATCTGTATTTGTTTCGAATCATCCATGCTCTTCTGTTTGTTATCACATACATTGACCAATTTAGAAATGGTTTTTAGGTGGCTATTTTTCTGGGTTTTTTTTAAATGCAAGTCATTCAAGACTGAAAATTTATTTGAAATAAAATTGTTATACACAGCAATAATACAACTGGTTGTCAGGTGGCCATTTTTGTGTTTTTTTTAATGCAAGTCTTTCAAGACTGAAGATTTTGCTTTCTGCTCCACCCCACATGAAGTTGATAAGAATTTACAAACCTTTCAGTCAAAAACTAAAAGCAATATCTGAAACTGTTCGTATGGACCACAATGAAAATAAAATTTTACAAAATTTGAAATTATTTGCACTGACTTTTGGGTGGCAATATATCTGGCAGGGTTAATGAGAAAATTAGTACGGTAACAGATAGAAATTAAAACTTGTTGTCACATGTTCTCATTTTTGTTAATTTTAGAATAACCATTTCTCCTCAGAATTGATAAGACATAGATATTCATCAGAAAATTGTTCAAGTCATTTTGTAATATTGCATAATTCAGTACACTGATGGATGTCAATGTGTTCATATTATCGTTGATTTCTGATAGTTTATCCAAGGCTGAGGAAGATGAAAACTGGTCGGTGATTGACCCTTATACCATACAGAAGTACTACATTAATGTTTGTCGATCAATAAACCCGGTAGCCGGATGTTCTACCTACGCTGCTGCTTGTCAAACCCAGATTAATAGTCAGTTTAAAGTAAGTACCAAGCTAAAACAAAGGGCAAGGTCACCAGTGTTCAACTATGTTTAAGATTATGAGGTTACCACTGGAGTACCACAAAGTATGCACAAAGTACAGGACTTATATTGGCTAACATGTAGCAGAGGTCAATGCAACCCAATACTTACCCAAGTTGCACACTTTGCGCTGTTCTCAGAATAACCTTTTCATATTCCTTTTCATATTTCCTTCTTGTAGTAATAAATATATATCCCGAAATGGCATAAAAAAAATAAAACATTTTATGCTGTGAAAACATTTGTGTATTTCGGGCAAAAAATTTTTTATATTATTGTTTGAATGTGAAAATCACTATTCTTGGCTGTGTTGATGACATCATAGGGGGGAACTTCAACTGTGCTGATACGTTTTGGAATGAGTTATGATACAGCTTTTTGTGGAATGGCAAATTGTATTAAGATTATTTAATACCACAGCAAAATACAAGTTCAATGTTTGATATTTAATAAATAAATGCTTTTGAATACTACATGCATTAAAGGTTGATTTGAATCTAAAACAGAAAACAAACATTTCCCCATTCTGTCTCGTGTGCCGCACTTTACTGGTACGCAAAAATGCAAAACAAATGCGTGAGACGCAGATTTTATGCACACAATGACATAAAGCTACCCTTGTTTTTATAAATTATAATAGTGAAACTATATGGCAGCCTTGGTGTGTTCTCACACTATTTTTGCTCTGTTAGAAGCACCTCTCCAAATGTAATGCTCATTGTTTGTATACTGTATCAGTAAAACAATTACAATACTGTAAAATACTTTATTTTAGCTGGAATTTATTTTTGCTGAAAATATGTTTTGGGTGTTTTGTATGGAATTTATTTTCACTGATTTTTGACTAGTTGAATGTAAAATATAGGGAAAAAGGTAAATTCGCTGGATTTTATTTTCACTGAATCATTTTTTTTAGCGAAAATTAATTCCAAGCAAAAATAAAGTATTTTATAGTATCAATATGCAATGAAAGGTGCTATTAGCTTACATGTACTTCTTTTGGAGATACGATTCATTCAATCCATTCATTCATTTGTTCGTCCTATTATTTATCTATATATTTATTTATTTTTTTATTTATTAAAAAAAATTTGAAAACAAACTATTTTGGTATTGCACTTGAAAATACATCAAGTCAAAATTAAGCAAATCTCTTAGGAAATGAAATGGTGATTGTGTATGAAATACGGTCAAAAAAACAACATTATTTTGAAAATTTAAATCTACTCCACCGGGTGAGTGAAAACTCCTAGACTGTCTCATAAAGCATCAGGAAATACAGAGCTTAAAGACAAAAATACTAATAGAACAATTACAGTATCAGTACTATGACCTACAATATAAAACGATTTGCTTTTTTTCCCACAGGAAGTCATAGGTATACCTAATATGGGCATTGCTAGTAGTCGGCCTACAATTGAGAGTTCTGAGAGCATCTTGCTTGAATACACTGATGGTCAAGACTGTACTGATGTTGATAACAAGATAGTCAAAACAGCAATCAGAATACATTTTATCTGTACTCCAGGAAACTTAGTAAGTTATTTATTTAAACGTACAAATGATGGTATTTACCTTTTCACTACCAAACTTTCCCGCCCAAATTTTTCTGCACTTTTTCTTACAATCTTCAATATTTCTGGAAATGAACCGTATTTTTGGAGCCAACAGACAAAACTTGTGAATGAGTAAATTTTCAGTTTTTTTGCTCAGCTGTCGACTCATCGTATGAGTGATCTGTGTCAATGTTTTACTTTTTCGACTTCTTCTTGAAAACTACAAGCCTGAATGCTTTGATACTTGGTGTATATGTACCTTGGGTAGACCTCTCTCATATTTGTTCATTTTGTAATGATATCTTTAATTCTCTAATTTTGTTGAATATTGTTGTCAATTTTGGTAAAAAGTGATATTTTCGACTTCTTGTTAAAAACCTCAAGTCCAATTGCTTTGATATTACATATATAGGTACTACATGTAGACCTCTCTCAGATTTGTTCATTTCATGATGATATCTTTAATTCTCTAATTTTGATGAATATTTTTGTAATTTTTGGTAAAAAGTGATATTTTCGACTGAAAATCGCAAGTCTGTTTGCTTTGATATATTATATCATATATATATATTGTTCATTTTCTAATGATATCTTCTGTTCTTTAATTGCCATGTGCAGTGCTAACAGCGGAGCTATCTCAGTCGACAGGCTGCTTGTTGGTTTTTTCTGTTCCAATCTTCTGAAGAATAGTGCAGACTATAAACAGGACTGAATTTGTGATGAAAAGAGAAAACTGGTGGTGCAGGAAATGTGCATCCAATTTGTTAATCATTTTAAATCAGTCAAAGTTCTTGGTCAGATAAAGCTTCTCTTATATGTCAAAAGATTACACTCAATGACAATGTTGTCTGTTGAAGATTTCCATACTTTATATTCATATTATTGCCCATATTTGGGCATTGCATTACATCATTGCTTGTAGAGTTAGTGGTGAAAAAGTACACACATTAATTTGAACAAACTTAATAAAAATAATCCACATGAAGTGTACATTGTATATCAACTTTCCCTCATAGAATTGACTCCTCATCCACCAATTGTGGTACCTTGAGTTCTTCTGTGCATTGCACTCATCGGCCACCAAATTCTGTTAGTTTTACTTAAACTAGTTTTACCCAAAAATATCATCAAAATCAAGCATTTCTGCCATTCTCGAACCGGATCTCAGTCATGTATGGATAGATATTGTTCAAACTTACACCAACTTACATTTTTTTGTCTGATCAGAAATCAAAATTGTTGACTGGCGGCCATTTTGTTTTAGTGAATGCAGTTTTGGAGCAATATTCCTGACTACTACTGTTCAAACTTTATATTTTTCTTCAACTTATGAACTCACAGGGACTATGTAACTCAATAACTCGTTAATAGTTATTAGGACTTACATGGTATTGGTTATTTTTTTTTTAATTTTCAGGAGAGTGTTCCTCGTTTTGTTGAAAAAATTGGGAATTGCCAGTATTCATTCATGTGGAACACTGAAGCAGCATGTGCCATTGATGACACTAAAGGGGAGGAGTGTGCTGTTAAAGACCCAAACTCTGAATATACGTTCAACTTGCAGCCCCTGAAGAGAAAGACTTATTACACTGTAACAACTGAAGAACAACCATCTCAGACATTTAAGGTAAAAGTTCAGGGAGGCTGAATGGAGGTTTGGTTGATTTACATGGCACTGTGAGAATGTGGGCTAAAACTATGTACTGAAAAAATGGAAGAGCTCTGGATCGGTGAATGACAAGATACTCAAAAACTGACAACTGGGTTGCTTGTGGGTTGGTTGCCTGGGTACTAGGAGACTGGTGGCTCGTGCTGGGTCTGGTTGCTTTTGTGTAAAGAAAGTTTCTGGGGTCTGCTGTTGGGTTAGTTGGCTTTAAACTGGAAGACCGGTGGCTCTTGGTAGGTAAGGTTGTTGGGTACTGACAGTCTCTGTCGGCTCCTAGATTGGTTGGTTGGCAGGGTACTGGAAAAGTGGTGGCTCTTGGTGGGTTGGATTGCTGAGTATTGAAATTGTTTACGGGCTCCTAGTGGGTTGTGGGTTAATACTTTAAGATTACATGCCGGCAAGGCTCTGTGTTGGCAAGTCTGCAGGGTACAGGAAGATCTCCTTGGCAGGGATGTCAGCACTCTGAAAAACATTATACAGAAACCATGCTGTTTTGTTCTTAATCGTTGCCCTTGTAATTTTTTTTGCTCCAGATTAACATTTGTGATAACGTGATTAGTTCAGAATGCTCTGGGTCTTCTGCAGCGTGTCTTCTTGATAACGGCAAATGGAAGTCCATTGCTTCCAAGAGTACATCACCAGAGTTCTCCGATGATGGACAATTAACGTTGAAGTATGAAGGCGTTCGAGATGTGAATAGTGGTAAGTGTAATCTCCCACTAACTGTGTGAATATTACATTTGAGCAAAAAGGCTGCTGGAATCATCAATATCAGAATTAGAGTTTTTTTTTATGTCAAAGCTTTAGATTATTACATGTTAATGTAAACCTGTATTTGCAAGTAAATTCAGAAAATAAAAAGCCCCTAATTTTAACTAATTTGTAGCAATATTGTCCATCGTTGCTGTCTACTTTTGACCTTTTGAAAAGCGCAAGTCTGATTATTTTGATATCATACATATAGGTAATTCAGGTGGACCTCTCTCATATTTGTTCATTTTGTGATGATATTTTTAATTCTCTAATTTGGCGTATATTTTTGTCATTTTTGGTAAAAAAGTAATTTTTTAGACTTGGTGTTAAAAACTTCAAGAGTGATTGCTTTGATATTATACATATAGGTACTACAGGTGGGCCTCTGTTAGATTTGTTCATTTTGTGATGATAATTAAAATGGGCATTGCTAACAGCGAAGCTATCTTAGTTGAGCGGCTACTTCTTATGGTGGTGATTTAAAACAACAATAATGAATCTCCTGCATTGTCATATTGGATTTAGAGTAGGGTCTAGATGCAATAATGTGTTCAGCCTTGTCTCACACATTATCTTGCCATAGACTCTTCTACTCGTTCAATATTGTGCTTCGGGGGATTCATTATTGTTTTAGATATTGATGGTCTGCTGCATTGAATGAAATACCGATGATTTTTTCACATTAGGTTCATTAATTAGTATTATTATACATCTGTCACCGTAACACCATAAGTTGCAGCGTGCCGCAATTTTGTGGTATTTTACGGGGTATTTTCATTCCACCATACAAGGAATTGTGAATTCCAAATATAGAATGATTACGTGGGTAAGCGTCATCTAATAATAAAAAACAAACGTGGGCCGGACTTCTCACAAAGAAGTGTGCTGATTCTGTTCTAAACGTTTTGGATTTCGGCATTCCCATGGTGTGTCCTTGGATGGAAAAGATGTATAATAATAAGGTTATTACGAGGATACCTTAAAGTATGCACTCAGACAGTGCGCCGTCACTTCAACCTCCGCTGCGCGTCAGTCAATACTCCGGCTGTACTGCTTTCGTGCATACTTTGAGGTATCCTCGTAATAACCTCATATTATTTTTGAGGTAGCCAAATTGTAAGAAGAAAAATTTAAATTATATTTTTTTTTAGTTGCACATACATGTATTCTAGTTGATTTTTTTTTGTCAGTGATACTGTGAATCGTAGATGTTAATATCAAGCAGAGAAAGTAGGAAACTAGTTTTCTCTTGCATCAATAAGAAGGTACATCAAAGTGGATTGGTCACATCTGAGTGTGGCCATTGCACTGCAATGTTGTCGAATTGCTAGAGGGAAATTACGGTAGTTGTTTCTGCGAATAAATCTAACACCACAATGACGAAATATCTTTCAGTTGATTTGTACTTTATTTACAAATACAATTTCCACTCAGTCTATACTACATTCAAACAACTTGAACTCCGCACCTGTTATGTGACTGTTTTTTACTGGCTTTTTGAAATTTTTTTTTACCCGTAGGTCAGTTTGTAAATGTTGTTATAACATTCTTGTGCCGTACGAGCATCCAGCTCGGAGAACCAAAATTTGTGCGAAAAGAAGGAATAACTTATCTGTTTGACTTTGAGACTGCTTTGGCATGTCGTCCACAGTCTGTTGACTGTCTGGTCTATGATTCGCACGCCAATCAGTACGACCTCTCATCTTTGAGTCGAGAGAGCGGTAATTGGGAAGCTGTTGACACGCGTGTCGGCTACGAGCATTTGCGCTATCATATTAATGTCTGTAGACCTTTGAATTCTGCTCCAAATGGTGACTACATTTGCCCAGGTGAGTTTCTTCCCAAAATGCCATTTCACTGTGATGTCATTTATCTATGTGTGAATGACTGTTATCCACAAATAGGTCGTTTTTACCTTGCCCGTATCATCAAAGATGGAAGAGAAAGGTATATTAAGGGGAAAATGTCTGTCGTTGTTGTTGTCGGCAGCGTTGTCGTCGTTAATAATTGTTATTGTGTGCACAATAACTTCACTAATTCTATTCTAAATTTTCCAAACTTGGTCACCTAATTCATCAGTATAAAATCTTCCCTTAGTAAGAACGACAGATGTCCTGTGTGAAAATATCCTGCAAAAATTGAGAAAATCTGATAAAATATTTTGACTGTTTCTATTTGACTGAGCACTGGTGATACACATTAAAAGGTCACTGATCCCAGTGGAAATATGCATCGTTGAATTTTATTAAATAGGACACATAAATGTTAAACAATGCCATTATTTTATCATTTGGTGCGATCCAGTAACTGTGCCCATGTGCAAAACGTAAACAAGTACAATGACCTGTAAACATAGTGAACAATTCAATCATGTTACGAATGTCTCACTAAAGAAAGTGACGTTCTGTTTTTACTGTTCAATATACGTCATTGCTATATACTATAAAATGAGCAAGTCAGCAAATGTGTATCAATGATTGAAGTTTTCGACATCACATTTGACTCATCAACCAAATCAAATTTCAGGGGGTCCGATTGGTGGATGTCAGACCAGTGATAATGACCCTAAACAGAATTTTAATCTTGGATATATCCAGGCCATGCCAGAAGCAGGAATTGATGGGTCACTGAGCATCCAGTATCTTAACGGAGATCAGTGTCACGGAAAGTATCATCGGAGTACACGGATCAATTTTGAGTGTTCAACAATCCAGGTACGTCTGCTATGAGCTTGTATTGTCACCTGGTAACTGGTGATAATTAGTGACACTGCCAACTATCAGTTTAATGGGAAAATTATTTTTTCTTTCATTGGGTTGGCTTGTACTGCAATTAAATCCCTGTGTACAATTAAAGTACCATCACACACATCGAAAGTCCTAACTAATGAGGATGATTCTACTGCTCTTCTGCTGGATGTATTTTAAAATGCGAGTCCTCTCATACTTCAAAACCAGTCGTTTTAAGTCGTTTTAATATTTTGTTGAATTACAATAATCCAAGGCTTAATTTATCCAGGTAGTGAATTAAATAAAGTGTGTCGTTTATGAATTATGATATTTTTATGAATCTCATATTTTTTCAACAATGTTATGCAATAATTTGTTTAAAAATTGTATTAAACACATGTTTCAAATAAAAGAAACAATTATTGCAGTTTGTGGCAAAACACATTGAAATAAAGTGTGATATTGGCTCAAGCCGAGTGCGTTCAGTTAAGTCTTGTATCAAGCTACGGTCTTACCTCTGTCTGAACACAACATTGATAATTCAATTAAAAAATTAACATCTGTTTCAGCGTGTTCTGAAAACCTGTATAAATGTTGTTATTGGGTTTTATTATTTATTTATTTTTGTCAACTGTACCAATGTTATTGATTTAGTGAAAATGATTATAAAGCTGACATCACATATTAATGAAATATTATTGGTGCTGTAAGTTATGATAAACAGAGTTCTTGTATTTTACTTCAGGGCTCCCCAGTGTTTCAAGATGAGACTCCAGAATGCGAGTATGTTTTTACTTGGGAAACTCCGAGTGCCTGTAAATTGCAGGTAAGTTGATTGATTGATTGATTGATTGATTGATTGATTGATTGATTGATTGATTGATTGATTGATTGATTGATTGATTGATTGATTGATTGATTGATTGATTGATTGATTGATAGATATTTGTTTAAAATTACAATTAATAAATATTAAAATATTACAACTAAGATCAACCTCACCATTTAATATTGATGACTTTTCAGCAAAATATCGGCTCCGAGTGCAAAGTGAAGGATCCTAGATACGGCATTGAGTTTGACCTTTCACCTCTGCGAAATGAAGCACATGACTATCACGTGACTGTTGGAGGGTATACGTACTTGGTCAATGTATGCGGTGCACTAAAAGAAGGCAGCGGTGTGTGTACAGGGGAGGTTGGATCGTGTCAGTTGTTGGAGAACGGTACTCCGGTTGATGCAGGTAAGCAGAATGCTACTTGTGTCTGATACTATAAATACGCTCAGTCATCGATAGTGAACCCTTCTAAATGTTAGACAATCTGGGGCTTTGTTATTTTGAAAATTGTTTTTAATATAGAAATACATATTCTCAGTGCATGTAGATGTCATTAAACTTTAAAAATATTATTACCATGGCAAAAATTGAGGTATAATATTTGAAATTATTGCGGTTGTTCCCCAAAAGTACCAGGATGTGCAAATCCGTGGAGTACCATTTTTTCCCATACTAGGCCTGTTTTGTACATGGATTCTTTAACAAGAATAGGTTTAGGAATTTTGTTCAATTCAAGGTTCTGTGTATTTCGGTATTGGACCAAAAGGACAAACTTTCCTGTTGGGTTTAGATAACAATGCGCTATAATGCACATCGGAAATAGACTTTCATCGCTTAAAAAATGCAGCAAGCTTGAAAAAGATGTATTGGTCGATACGATACTGTCTTAATTGGTGCATTTGCTGTGATATTCTTGTGTTAACTGAATATTATTTCATTGCACACTGTACAGATACAGCATTTTTATTTTCACATAGGAAAGTACAACCAAGAACTGAAATATGATAATGGCATGTTAGCGCTGAACTACACAACTGGACAAAAATGTCACAGCGATATTTATGAACGAGCGACGTTACTGCAGTTCACGTGTGATGAAGAAGTTGAAGGTGAGGGTTGAAAGTTCACAATACTTATTTTGCTATAGCAGTTTTTTCAATGATGAAAAGTGTGGATTAGGAACGAAAAACAATTATGTTACAGCCGTTCTGAGAATTATTCGGACAGTCAGTTAGCAATATATGTTGGAACTTTGCAAAACACTTGGGTCTTTTCCAATCTAGACTTGATGGCGCCGTTGTATTGCCACGCCCACAATTGGAATCATTCCATTATCTTGCAAGGTGCGGGTAAAACGCTGTTTTCAAAACGACATGCGTTGGTTACCATATATTAACAGGTTATATGTTGTATATGCATTCAAAGTGTTATTTTAAATTGTTATAACCATCTGAGTCCACCTGACATAGAGCAATTTACAAAACAACTCCCGAGTGTTGAGTAACCCCAGGTATTAATGAACTCGTCGCTGGCGGGAAGGCTCAAAGTAAAGTTTCTTAGCGGGACGCGCTGCAGTTTCGCAACAGTTTTGGGCCAAACTATAAGTTGCTTTTACATTACTGGTGCATTATGTATCAAATTCAGATTTTATACCGAGGTGGGAATG